ACGTGTACTGTACATTATAGTTTGAGGGAGATGAAAGTGAAGTGAAAGTTAAAACCCGTATGGTAAGTGTGAGAGCAGAAAATGCTGACACATCTGTACACCACTGCAGACTGCTGCACACTCACATGTTCAGCATTAATATAATATTAAAGGTATAGTGAGGAATATACAGTAGATAGGGGAATGAATAGTGACAAAATAAAGGTACAAAAGGGAGAATGTAGTGTGGTGTGGTCTCATTATGGGAAGTGAAGGTTAGTGCTGATCGGTAGACTGGCTCTGACTACTAGCAACTAAAGCAGACTCCTCCAGACTGCAAACTGGAGCAAAAATCTGTACAAAAGCTGTGCATTCCAGCCTTAATAAATCATAAAACTGAGCTTAACGCATGACAGAGGGGACAACACAAGTTCAGCAATAACAGAAGACAGATGTATTATACAAAGCAGTCAACAGTGGCACAAACAGAACACCATAATTTTTGGAAACAGACTTTCATAAACGATAGAACAAGATGATACAGAGGACAACAGAACAAGACAAAAAAAAAAAGTAGAACTTCACATCAACATATCCACCTTATTCTTTGTCAATTTTATGTGCAAGGCTTCCGGTCTCATCCGCTTCCAGCTATTTTTAGCTGTACAAAACAGTTCGCTTTGCTGCATTGCAAACTGGTGTGTCTTACCATATTATTTTAATGTATTATCTTAATTATGAACACAGTGGTTTGTAGTGCAAACAGTTTTATAGTAGATACGATGTATCCTTTGTTACCGCAAATCTGCATCCAGGGTTAATACATGCTAGACCTCGGATTGTGTGGAGCATGAGGCACAACAGACAAGAATCTAGATCTCTGATTAACTGCTTGACTTTAATTAAGTTGTTATGCAGTTGAATTAACTATGGGGGGCTAGACAAAATACTATTGGAGTACTGGTAAGCATGGTTCGGGCATACTTCATAGTACTAGTCATAGCCTCTGGTTATTGAAATGAAATATACTTTATTGTCCCTGGTAGGGAAATTTGGATTAGACTCAAAACCAACATTCCAACATCACCTGGTACACCTAAGAATATAAAAAATACTATGCATACAATAGATATACACATCCATATACACCATCACAGATATCAGATTAAAAAAGAGCAGATGTTAATAACCAACTAGATCCACTTCATTTCACTAATAGGAAAGGTAGAGGAACGGGTGACGATATTAATACTTTGATGCATTTGGTTCTAAATCACGTGGAGGATTCAGATGCTTATGCTTTTTATTGATTTTAGTTCAGCATTTACCACTATCCAACCACATGTTTTAATTAAAAAATTAAACCAATTAGGCGTGAATCCTGCAATCATACTGTGGTACTATTCCTTTTTAAAGGAGTCATATGATGTTGCTAAAAAGAACATTATTTTGTGTATTTGGTGTAATGAAATGTGTTTATGCGGTTTAAGGAAACAAAGTAGTTTCGCTTTCACAACGAAACACACAGCGTCACACACATCACACAGCCTTGAGTGAGCGGAGGCCGGCGGGCTTGCGGCAACCACATGTTTCTTTATGCACCAAGAGCTTGTAACACTTCAAAGAGAAAGGAAAAATTGAAATCGCATCATATGACCCCTTTAACAGATAGAACTCAGAGAGTCAAAGTAAACGATAGACTGTCTCAAGTGAAATACTGTAGTACTGGTGTTCCACAGGGCTGTGTCAGCTCACCAGTTCTTTTTACATTGTACACTAATGAATGCTCTAACAGGCACACACAGAACTACATTATGAAGTATTCTGATGATACAGCTATGTTCTAAGTTAATTGAAAAAGCAAGACTCTTCTTCTATTTACTATTCTGAAATTACTTCATTTAGAATCAGAATCAGAATCAGAATGAGCTTTACACATACAAGGAATTTGTTTTAGTGACAGAAGCTCCACAGTGCAACAGAATGACAGTGACAAGACAGGACAAGACAGGACACAGGTAATAAAAAGAATAATATACAAATATAAAAAATAGACAATGTACAAAATAGCAAAAACACAATATATAATATAGACAATTATGTATGTACAGGTATGATATGTGCAAATTTGAAATGTAAAAAAGTATGTGTGTTAAATAAATAAATGTATAATAGTGTTGTGTGTTCCATGTTTATTGTCAAGTGTTCAAGAGATGGATTGTCTGAGGGAAAAAACTGTTCCTGTGCCTGGCCGTTCTGGTGCGAAGTGCTCTGTAGTGTCAACCAGATGGCAACAGTTCAAAGAGGGAGTGTGCTGGATGTGAGGAGTCCAGAGTGATTTTGCTAGCCCTTTTGCTCACTCTGGATGAGTACAGTTCTTGGAGAGTAGGGAGGGTTGCACCAGTGATTCGCTCAGCAGTCCGGACTATACT